ACAGACTGACCTTTGTACAGACTTAAGACTAAAACCACAGATGTGGATAAAAGCCACTCTGCAAAATTATACCAATTAGCACAAGCTAAATAGGAGGTGTTGGAAACAAAGGGATACCTACCCTTGCACATATGACTCTTGCTGTTATTTAATGCATCTCACTTAAACTTTTCATCTTTACATCTAATATTTTAGGAAAGATCAAACTGAGGATTCAAAGAGGTTAAGCATTTTCCCAAAGTCATGTAATTAGTTGGTTAGCAGAGCCTGGATTTGAAGCTAGGACTTTCTGACCTCAGATGTTCTGCTCTTTCTACAGAACACTTTCTACACTCTTCTTTCCCTTTCTTATTTCCTGCCCGGAAGAGGCATTTGTCTTAGCAGAGGCTGACCTCATCCTCAGCTACAGAGATAGGCCCAATAACTCTTAATGATAACACCTTTCCCTTTGCTGAGACTGGTTCAGAATTAGGAACGGGAATCAGTTGGGGCTAATAAAATGTACAGAGTTTACTGGGGCCTCTAGGAAAGTTCTTCCGCAGTCTTTTAGAATCCAAGACTTCTCTCCAGCGTGGACAACAGGAAGTCATGTAGGCATCCCAGTTGCTACCAGCCATTATCCTAGGACTACTACAAATGTGACCTGCCTTAGGATGAAATGCTGCTGTGGATGACAGGGAACAGGTATGGAAAGAACATGGGTTCTAGCTAACTGCTTCTACCCACTTAGGTCCTGATCTTCCTCTTGCTTTTCAAAGACATTTCCAAAAGTTATTGCTGGCTCCCTTTCTCTTCACTATCAATATTTCCTACTTATTTGGATAGTCCCATTTGCATTCCAATATGTGTTAGATTCTTTCATATTAAAATAAATCTCCTTTGACTCCACACTCTCTTCTAGTGACAGCCCTTTTTCTCTCCTCTATTTAATCAAAACTTTCTGTGTGAACTTCATGAGCTTCCACACACTTGTTATCCCATTCTAGTGTGACTTCTGCATCACTTATATTCATAAAACTGCTCTTGTCAAGGTCACCATTGACTTTCATTTGCCATTTCCAATGGACATGTGTCTGTTCTCATTTTTCTTGACCTGTCAGCAGGATTTAAGTTGGCTGAACATTCCCTCTTTCTTGGAACACTTTTCCATCTTGGCTTCCATGACTCCACATTCACCTGGTCTTTCCCTTACCTCATTGGCTACTACTTCTCTTTCTAATACGCATTGGCTTTTTCCTCCATTTAATTTCTCAATGTTGTATAATCTCAAAGCTTGGTCCTCAGCCTGCCACTCTTCTCTATTTATTCCATCTCTTCTTACACTCATTTAATATTCAGTTCAGGCAATATTCATACAACACTCAAATCAGTATTAATTGAGTGTCACGATATGGCAGACGCTAGGAGCTCTGGTAGCATAGTGGCTAAGTCACTTGATTGCTAACCAGAAGGCTGGCGGTTCAAACCCACCAGCCACTCCTCGGAAGGAAAGTTGGGCAATCCTACTTCCGTAGTGATACTGCCTCGGAAACCCAAGGAGGGGTCGCTATGAGTCGGGGCCAACTCGACGGCATACAACAACAACAACAACAACATTCTAAGCATGGAAATAAAAAAATGAAAAAACCAAACTCACTGCTGTCGAGTCAGATCAGAGTCATAGAGACCCCTCCTTGGGTTTCTGAGCCAATATCACTACGGAAATAGATTGCCCAGTCTTCCTTCTGAGGAGTGGCTGGTGAGTTTGAGCCACCAGCCTCCTGGTTAGCAGTCAAATGCCTTAGACACTATGCCACCAGAGCTCCCAGCACAGAAATAGAGCAATGAGTCCCTGCCTTATAAAGCATACATTCTATAATATGATGTGAGGTAGCAATAAAAATACTATGAAGAAAAATAAGGCAGTATAAGTATATAATGGCAATGGTGCTGTTTTTTGCTAGAGTAACCAAGGAAGAACTCTCTGAAGAGGTGGCATTTATATCTAAATAAAGTGAAGGGTGAGAGAGAGGAATCGTGGATGACTCTAAGTTGTTGGTTTGCATGACAGAAGGAATGATGGTGCCATTTACTGAGATAAGGAAGAATAGGGAAGGAGAAGATTTGAGAGGGGAGAATCAAGAATTCTGTTTTGGGTGCATTAAAGGACTATTTCAATAAATTAAGTTTTTCTTGTGGCTGATTCTTTCTTCAGTTCTCAGGAAGACTCTCCCTGATCACTGTCCCTGAAGCATCTCATTTGCCACTTCCCCATCCCAGATAGTTTCTATCACACTCCTTAATAATGGTTTATTTTCTTCATTATAGTTATCATAATCTGTAATAACTTGGTTATTATTGCATGACTACTCTAAAAATAAGTTAATTTGGGAACAGAAGCTTTGTCTGTGTTGCTCATAGTTGCATTAATACTGGGCCTTCAAAATGAAAGAGCTCAATGAATATCTGTTGTGTGAGTGAACAAAGTCAGGAGAAGAGGGCTCTTCTCTGAGCTCAGTCAGTTACTCACAACACACTGCTGTCGAGTCTGATCCAACTCATAGCGACCCCTCCTTGGGTCTGAGGCAGTATCACTTCAGAAGTAGTGGAAGTAGATTGCCCAGCCTTCCTTCCAAGGAGTGGGTGGTGGGTTTGAACTGCCAGCCTTCTGGTTAGCAGTCAGATGCCAAGGCATTACACCACCAGAGCTCCCAGTCAGTTACTAGCTATATGCTTGGGGAAAATCACCTCTCTGGTCTTTTCTGAAGTTCAAAAGTAGTTTGATTGGATGATCCCTAAGGGCTAATTTGTCCACTTTGAAATTACATCTAAAACCCAGGATTTGTATTCATTTAACCTAACAGAATTCTCACCCAGAGCCTCATTTTGATAATAACAATGTTGAAGGGTTTCTGATGCAGAATGAGTGCCCAATTATAGCTGGCATGGAGATCCTGAAGGGATCTACGTTCCCACTCTTGGTCCCCTTAAATCCTCAGTCCCATGATGCCATCTATTTTGTCAGGCTCCACTGCAGAAACAGGAAGAAACAATTGGAAAAGAAGTAGAAATGAAGGAGTTCATTTTCCACAACATTATTTAGCCCCTGCTTGTTAGGACAGCTCAAGCCTTTTCAGGTGTATTATCACATTTCATATATATTGAAGGGTTATTGGAATATTAAGGAATAACATCACAAAACCCCATGACGTAGGTATTAATCCTTCCATTTTCCTGATGAAGCAAATGAGGCACATGAAGATGAATTAATCTGTCCTAGTTCTGACAAATGGCAGAAGGAAGCTTGGAATCTACATCTGTCTTCCACTCCATTATGCTTTCCACTACACCATAGATGCCTATAGTTTAGTGCAAAACACTGTTGGGAACAATCAGTTTCCAATGGACTAAGGTCTATTTGCTAAATCACCAAATTAAAATAAATTGGGTTAAGAAACGTTTGCTTTGAACCCAGAGTTCAAGAAACCAACTTTTCAATTCATCTGGGAAATCCTATTGCAAAGAAAGCTTTTAATTACCATGTAACTTAAATACATACATAGATGGGTATAATGCCCTAAAAAAAAAAAAAAAAAAAAAACCCATCAAGTTGTTTACAGAGGCAGGAAATATTTTTCTTCTGAAATAAAGATTCCCAGGGCTTCTTCTCAAGAAGGAAGAGAAAGACACCAGGAATATCTATTCCTTATGCAACCACCCACTGAAGATCCTCTACCTTTTTGTTTTCATCAGCAATCTTTGAAGACTTCCCTTACAAAATAATCATATTCTTACATAATGTGACCAAAACCAAACCAAACTCACTGCCATTGAATCAATTCTGACTCCTAGCAACCCCCACTGGGTTTCCAAGGCTATAATTCTTTAAAGGAAGCAGACCACCTCAACCCAAGCCAGTAAATCTGTAGGGAATCCCATTGCCCATTCTTCCTTCAATGGAGTAGCTGGTGGTTTTGAACCACCAACCTTCTGATTAGGGGTCAAATGCCTTAGGCATTATGCCACCAGAGCTCCTTATATAACTATATAATATGTATATATATATGGAGCAGCTGGTGGGTTTGAACCACTGACTTTCTAGTTAGCAGCCACAAGTCTTATCCACTAGGCCACCAGAGCTTGCTCTCTCTCTCTCTCTCTCTCTGTATGTATGTATGTATACACACATACATATGTATGTATATATATATATATACACACACACACATATAACTCCGGTGGTGCAGTGCCTAAAGCATTTCACTGCTAACCAGAATATACATTATATATCTATACAGGGATATATATATATATAGTGTGTGTGTGTGTGTGTGTGTGTGTGTAGATAAGGATTTAAGACATTCAATACATGTAAACATAAGTAAAGCCGTATGTATGTCTTAGCATTGGGCATGACTCTGAATAACTTTTGCTTTTTAAAAAAAAAAAAAAAAAAAACCTATAAACTCTTTGGGAGCGCTGGTGGCGTAGTGCCTAAGGCATTTAACTGCTAACCAGAAGGCTGGCGGTTCAAACCCACCAGCCACTGCTGCGAAGGAAGATTGAGCAATCTACTTCTATGGTGATACTGCCTCAGAAACTCAAGGAGGGGTCGCTATGAGTAGGATCCGACTAGACGGCAGTGGATTTGGTTTGGTTTTTGGTGATAAACTCTTCAGCACTGATATAAAGCAGGACAGGAGGAAAAGACATCTTAGATGAAGGGTACTTTCTTCCTCTCCTTTCCATCCCCAAGCCAACTTTTGTTCTCCTTTCAATATAAAAATGGTCTGGAAAAGGGATTGGGTATTTTGATTAGGGGAAGGATTCATTATTTGTATCTTCCCTACCATTAAATGATGGCAAAGGCAGGCACCTAAGAACTAAAACGTCAATAAAACAAGATTGTGAATAGAAAAAGGAATAAATAACTTTTATTTTGTACCAAATGGCTGTCAAAGTCCAAGAGTTCCCAGCGGGCAGACAGCATCCTGAAGGGATCGCCCGGGGCATCAGAGCCCTCATAGAAGCAGTAGGGAGCCCAACAACAGCTCACCCTGGCCCAGCAGGCGGCCTCGCTCCAGCCCGCGTCCCTTGTTCTCGACCTTGACGCGCACCGCCAAACGGCGCACCTCGTCCTCCGTAAGCCCGTCGAAGCAGAAGTCCTGATCCAACACCGGGTTGCAGCTCCTCCGGACCACTGCGCTGCGCTGCTTGCGCGTCTTGCCCGGCGGCCGCAGGACGAAGCTGATGCGGCAGCGGACTGCGCGGGGCTCGGAGGCACCCCCGGCCAGGCCCTCGGTGCGTAGCAGCCGGATGCGGAGGTGCCGGCTGCCCGGGCAGTACTCTGCGGCCAGACGCAAGGCGCCGGCGGCGCGGCCTAGAGTCATGGTGCCCTCGGCCTCCAGGCACTCGGGCCGCAGGTCCGAGGGCGGAGGTGTTGAGGATGTGGATGGGTCACAGGGCCGGGACACAGAGCGGACGCCGGGATCCTCGTCCTCCTCACCGCTGGAGACCGAGCGAGCGCGGGCCAGGCCGCGACTCCTTCGAGCCCGCAGCGCGCGGCTCAGAAGCCCGTCGGGCGCGCGCAGGAGGAAATGGCCCCGGGACCGCGGGACAACCGTGTCCCAGAGCGGGCGGGGAACGGTGGGGGTGGCGGCCGGGGCTCCATTCGGGGCTCGCGGGAGGCCCTGGGGCGCGAGGGGGCCATGTCCTCCGCCACCGCTGCTGTAGGTGTGCGCCCGGAGGCGGAACGCGGGCCCGGCAGCGGGCGGCAGCAGGAGCGCGGCGGCGCCCGGGTCCCCGAGAAAGAGCGACTCCTTGCGGCGGGTGTGAGGGCTCTCGAGCAGCGCGCAGAAGCCATAGACAGTGCGCGCGCGGGGCAGGTGCGGTAGCGAGAGCGCGGCCTGCGAACGCGGATCCCAATCCGTGAGTCCTGCGGCCTCGTTCACTCCTCTATACCACAGATCCCGCTCCGCAGCGCACCGCCGAGGCAGGGAAGCGACCTGGGAAGGCGACTCCGGTGAGCAGGGCGCGGGCAGCCGCGGCGGGATGCAGAATTCCGGGATGCGGCTCGGGGTGAGCACGTTGCTGAAGACCGGCTTTGCAGCGGCGCTGCCCACAGCCGAGAAGCGAAATTTCTCCAGGAGTCCCATCCTCCGACGCTGGGACTGGGAATGTCTGGCAGAAAGGGTCCTGCAGGGGGAGAGAGGCTACTGAGTTCTGAGCGCCGGGGCTGCTGGACCCCTGGGTCCTCAGCGGACCCTTCTGCTCACCCTCTGACTACAGAAGTCAGAACTTCTGAGCCGGGAACTCCCGGCGAGACCGATCCAAGCGCTCGCTCACCCACAAATCCGCTCTGCCTCCCATTCATTGATACTTAAAATAAATAAATAAATAAACGAATAAATCGTAATCAGACCTTATCCTCCTCTTCAGGTCACTTTAGGACTCAAGTCTTTTGGGCTTTCAGTTTACTTTGCCACTAGATCTCAGCCAGGACACCAGTTTCAGCACTGTGCCCGGGACAGTGACGCTCCTCTCTTATACTCTTAGCCTGAGCTCCACCCTGCTGGCCAGAAGCCCAACACCTGGTGCACTGGGCAGCCTGCCTTCCTGGCCACCCCCTCCCCACGAAGGCAGGGGCCCCGCATCTGGTGCTCAAGTTTGAGCGAAGCTGTCGCTGAGCAACCACCCTCTGGTCTACCCTGGGATCTGTTTCCACTCTCCGTGCAAGGACCCCAGTACGCAGACCTGGGGAAGGGTGCAGGTGGAACAAGGACGCTCCATCACCTTGCCAAAGAAGAATTGGCAACTACATATGTTTGCTGCTTCTCAAAGAAAATGAAGGAGGATCCCGCTGCCATCGAGTCAGGTCTGATTCATAGCGACCCCTCCTTGGGTTTCCCAGGCGATATCGCTATAGAAGTAGATTGCCCAACTTTCCTTCCGGAGAGTGTCTGGTGGGTTTGAACCAGCAGCCTTCTGGTTAGCGGTCAGATGCTTTTAGGCACTATGCCACTAGGAACCAGGAAATTCCTTTGAATTTCCTAGAACCTAAATTCTATCACCCTGCCTGTGGTCCACATACCCTGGGGGCTTCTCTTTTCCTGCTCCCGCGCACCTGCAGTAAACCACCACGTGTCTTCCCTGGCTGTGCGTATCCACTCATTTGCTGCCTCATTTATCTGTCTCCCTCTACTGGACGGTGGCCTCCTTTGAGAACATAGGGCCTGGCTCAGTCGATGCCCTAAGTACCATTGGTAAAGCAGGTGAATGAATATAGCAAAGCTTTCTGTACGACTGCAGGCTCTGCCTGTCATCCTGATTGTCACAAAAGATGAAGCTTATTACCCTAAAAATAACACTTGATATTTGCACTGTTATGCCTTTTGCTCCTACATGGAGCTATAGAGTTAGTTAGGTATCCAGAAGCTCTTGATTGCCTCTTTCTACTTTTCAACCTTCATTTTCTAAAATGAGTAAAATGGAAGCCCAGAGGACTTGAGGAAATTCCACAAAGGTTAATAGCAGAGCCTGGAACTAGCAATTTCCTGTTTATTTGGCTTTGCATGTAATGCTTCCTTTTATCTGAAATTCCCTTTCTCTGCCTTTTTCTCTCTGTAGGAACTCTTGTTTACTTTCCATGATCAGCCCAGACATAATCCTCTTCAGGAACTTTTACCTAACTCCACTACTTATTCCCTCCATACTCTTTTGTACCACCATTGTTGTATTTAACACTGCTTTGGAGAATTGTTGTTTATAGGTTTTTTTTTTTTTTTTCCTCCTACTACTCAGTCCTTGAGAACTGAGGCTGCTGCTACTCAGCCAGAGTGGGGTTCTTGGGGTCTGTTATGAATACAGAGTCACTGGGTGGTACAAATGGGTAAGCACTCAGCTACTAACTGTAAGTCTGGCAGTTCAAATCCACCCAGAGGTACTTCAGAAGATAGTACTGACAATCTACTTCTGAAAGATCACAGTCATTTAAAATCTTATGACATACAGTTCTTCTCTGAAACACATGGATCACCATGAGCCAGAATCAACTCTGCAGTTGGTTGTTTTTTTTTTCTTTCATTTTTATGAATATACAAAACTAAATAAATAAAATAAGAAGAATCCTAAAGTCATGATTCTGAGTTTGTTTCCATCCCAGGTGTCCTACCCAAGGGATAAGTCTGGCTGTCTTTTTCATCTCTTATCCAATTCCATCACCTGGTGATACAAGGCCAGGCAAATAGTAAGTACTCAGCAAATATTTGTTGAATTATATTGTGTCAAACTGGTCTACAATCCAGGTCTTATGACTGTCAGGAGCTTTCAACCACATACCTCTCTAACTACATTAATCTATTTCTTTCTCTCAACAAACCAATGCATTGTTTCTGTTTTCTGGATGAGAAACTGAGGCTCAGATTCAGGGACTTTCTAAGGTTATTCAAACTATCATTCATGAAAGACATTGCCCATATCCTAAGTTCTAGGGGTTTTTTTTTTTTTGTTGTTGTTGCTTATTTCTTCTAATTTATTTTGTCCTTCCTACATCCATCCACTCAGTTCAGTATAATTCACTGAGTTATTGTGTATCAGGTACTGTGTGACTTGTATAGCACTTTACACCCAGAAAGTTAATTTTTAAAGCAACTCAGTCTACTGTGGAATATTTTCTACCATCTTTGCTCTGGAATAGGTCTCATTATTTCTAAATCTTTGAAGGTAAGGAGAGTGTATGTTCCCTGGGCTAATGATGAATGATTTTTTTTTGGGGGGGGGTTCTTAATTGATAACTGTTTTCCTCCAGTATGTGCTTTCTTGATGGGGCAAGTATGACTCAATACACAGCCACTGGGGCCAAAGAACAGTAGCCATTCCTGCAGAAGCCAAACCTTCAGACAGAAGTGTCCATGGAAAGTCTGTTTCTGGATCATTTCCCTGTGATTCATTTGGCTAATCTGCAGATTCCTGGATGAATGGTCTTCTCTAAAGCAGAGGACACCTGCATTATGTCCTGGAGCTGACGCCAGATCACTTTGAAGTAGACAGACCTCACTGCAAATGATCTTTGCTCTCTCCAGGGCCTTGTGAGAGATGGACACAAATTTCATCTGTGGGTGAATGTTGGTGAAAGCAAAACATGGGATTTGAATCATTACACTACCAGCACTTCCATGTTCATAGAACAACACAAGCATGGTGATAAACACTCTATCTAGAGAGCTTTCCAAAACCATTAGTTTCCCATGAATCAATATTCCACAGAAGAGAAAGTAAGATATAGGGAAATTAAATTATTTACACAGTACCGATTCCAGCCATTCATTCATTTAAACCCATAGCTGCAGGTTGTATCCACAGTTAAGAGGTCTGCTTTCCTTCCTGATTCTTAAATCACTTTGGGAGAATGTGAAAAACAGCATTTCGGTGGAAACGCTGATTGCTCTAGGTGTTTCCTTATTTTGAGCCTCGTGACCACATAAGGTCCACTACCATCCGGTGTTTACAGCTTTGAAAATTGTTATTTCAAAGAAACTCTTCCATTAATAATACTGACATTTACTGAACACTCACTATGTACTGGAAGTCGTTAAATGCTTCATCTTTATCTTTGTACTTTATCTTATTTAATCCTTAAACCATCCTATAAAGAAGGTAAAAATATTAACCCTCATTTAGAGATTCAGGAACTGAGACTCATAGAGGATAAACTATTTCTCTGAAGTCTCTTACCTGGTAAAGCAGAGCTGGAGTTCAAAATTGGGTCCATTTGGCTTATCATCCTGTGTCCTTATAACCACTTCCCTCTCTCCCTGAGAGCCATTTCCCCTGAACTCATTTCCCCTCTCTGTGGCTAGGTAAAAGACCTTCGGTTGAAACTTACACTACCCATTTTATTGTTCTTGTTATTATTAGTTGCCACCAAGTTGATTCTGACTCATAGCAGCCCCATGTGTGCAGAGTAGAACTACTCCATAGGGTTTTTAAGACAGTGACATTCAGGAGGCAGATTGCCAGGTCTATCCTCTGAGGCATCTCTGGGTGGGTTCGGATTCCCAATCTTTCGGCTAGTAGTGGAGTGAAAATAGATTAAAACATGAAATTGTCATAAGCAGAAAATCACTACTTGTGCATAGTAGCATTGTACCATTTGTAAACAGATTCCTTGCTCCCATTGGAAGTGTGTTCATCCTCTTTAATTATACCATACCTTGTTCCAAAAAAAAAACCATCTGAAGTGATTTACATAACAAAGACCATAGAATTTATCATCCACTACAACCTGACAAAGTGAAGACAAAAATGGTGCAGTGGATTTTGAAGTTTCTCAAACTTGGGTTCACAATCCTGGCTCTGCCATTTTCTATGTAAGTGACCTTGACCAAGTTAGAATAACTTTCTGAGCTGCAATTGTATCTACTAAATAAAAGTAATGGTACCTATCTACTTCTTCCATTTTATGAGAATTAGAAATAGAATAAGGAGATTTGGTGGTACTATAGTTAAAACATTGGGCTGCTAACCAAAAGGTAGGTGGTTTGAATCCACGAGCCACTCTGTAGAAGAAAGATGAGGCAGTTTGCTACCAAAAAGATTTACAGCCTTGGAAACTCTATATGGGTCAGTTCTCCTCTGTTCTATAGGGTCTCTATGAGTTGGAATCAACTCGCTGGCAGTGGATTTTAGTAGGTTTAGAGATGGAATATAGAAAGCAAAAGGCACATACATTATAGGGCTAAGTAAATTTTGGTTATATTCCTAAATTAATTTCTTTGGATTGTTTCCTATGCTAAACTTTCAAAACTATTCCATTTTCTCAAGTAGATTAAATTTATATTTATATTTGGAAGTATCACTTTTGAAAAATCACTTACAAAAAATATAAGAAACAACTTAAAAAAAAAAAAAAAAAAGAGTTCCCTGTCCACATTAGAAGAGTATCAATTGCTTCTGTTTTTTTCTTTTTTTTTTTCCCTGAGTACCTGGATTCTTCCTATCTTTTGTTTATCTTTCCAGAAAACTGACTAGTCTAATTGGTGGTCACCTTCTAAGTCTTCAGCTCATTAGCTTTTCTCCTTTGATGTTGAGGAATGCTCTCCTTTCTGTTGGTGACTTGTCCGCAATGCTCCTAAGCATTTGCACAAACATTCACCTT